CTTCTTGAGGATGAAATTGCGGGCTCCTTTCCTGCCCTTCTCTGACCACCCCAGGTGGGCGCTGGGGCCTGGAGTGCTTGGTTTCATCTTCCTGCAGTGGAGTCTAACTTGCCTTTCTGCCTTTGCTGGCAGGTGTGAAATCTTTTTCATGGTGTTTGGTGGAAGTCAAGTGGTTATTTAGTAAAAGTTTCCTCCTTTTCACGCGGACCATTTTCTAGTCCTTTGTCTAAGAGAGCTGGCTTTTCTTAGGGTCTTTATTGTTTGTGCCCACTGGTATGTCTAGTTGGACACATTCCCCAGGTCTCAAATCAGAGGCAAAAAGAAACCTGGGACCTGGGAGCTGGGTTGTTCCTGGGGTTTCTCTTCTCCACACTTCGGAGTCTTCTAATGTTTCCTTTATATGTAACAGGATTTTTACATGGACCTTGGTAGGAGGACTGGGGAAAATCTGTCTATTCCATATTTTTAGAAGCAGAAGTCACTCATGATATCACTTGATAACCAGATATGATTTTCCATTGAAGAAATGAAAACATTGTTATTTCTAAAATGACCAAAAGAAAATAAGCCTTAAAGACTTCTGAAATTAATTCTTGCACTTGGAAGGTAATATTAAATATTAAATAAGCAATAGAAGAGGTTTGTAAAGTATCTCTCTCTTACGAGGGACATTTGGATACCTTTATTAGTGTTTTCTTTGTGTTATTCATTATAAGGGTAAAATTTTAATGTTGGAAAAACTATGTTGGGATTTTTCCCTTAGAAACTAATATGCTTCTCCCACTTAATATTAAGAATTATATAATTCATTCTATAACCATTTCCCTTTCCTGTCAGCCCACTAGGACCTAAATTTGTTTTTAATTTTAATTCATCTGCACATCTTCGCTTTTGCCTCCCTCACTAGGGCTTCCCCATCCTCTGTTATACAGCTCTAATTCTGTTTTATGATTCTAATGGGGCTGTGATGGTTTCAAGATAATCCTTCCCAAATTTATTTTGCAACATGTAGAAGCAATGGGCTTTCTGAATTTCACTTAGGAAGGACTTACAAGAGGCAATAAGGTTGAAAGAATATTTCAGAATTTTGAAGTTTGTTCCTAGAGCAAGTGCGTTATATTGCTTTGTGTGTGTGTGTGAGTGGGTGGGTGTGGCCAAGAGGAGGTGAAATTGAGACCTGCTCCTTAACCCCATGACAGGTGTTATTACCGTATATAATAGTGCATTAATAGCTTCATTCATTCGTTTATTGATTCAAAAAGTATCTGTTGAATACCTACCAAACACTGCTCTAGGTACTCAGAATGTAGCGGGCTTCGGCTCTCCTGGAGGTTCCGTTCCAGCAAATGAAGAGAGAATGATTTCTGTGTCATCAAGGATGTGGCAACATTCGCTCTTACAATTTTGTGTGGGAATTTAAAAAGGCACTCAAACGAAGAAGAAAGGAAAAGTAATCATTAGACTAAACACAAACTTATAAAAACACAAATTTCCCCTCTAATTTCATAGACTCAGACTAACAGAAATCATTAGATTATTAGAAGTATCTTGGTACTGTGTATGTTTTAGCTATGAGATAGAAACAAAACTGAAAAAGTTAAAAACAACTGGGAAAATGAATTTAATAAATGCATATAAATATAAATTTGAAAGTTATGTTTTCTAAATCCCTCTAAAGTTTTGAGAGACATTATCAGGTAGTAGAAAGAATCAGAACAGGGCATAAATATCGGTTCTATCAATTATAGTTTGTTATCCTAGGAAGTTATTTAACTTCTTTAAGCTTAATTTCCCATGAGTAAGATGAGAGTAGAGTACCTACCTAACACAAGTGTGAGGATTAAATAATATGCCAAATATAACTTAACTAGCACATTGTCTGGCTCATTAAAATCATGCAGAAATCTGTTTCTCTCCTTCCTCCAGTTCTTTTGCTGTATCTTTATAGCAACTCCCTTCAGAAGTTTTTAATATTTTTCAAACAACATAACATTGAATTTTGTTTTTTTGCAATTATTTTTGACAGTTCCAACTTACCAGAAGAAGGCTATAATGAACTCTCATTTAGATATTTTAAACTATTTTAGGAAAATAAGAATTTCTCATATGAAAAATAAAGAAAGAAGTTGCTAAGAAATCCTAGCAATTAAGTAGAAGTTATTTCACACACTCAACATTTTATGAAGAATAATAACTCTTGCACCTATAAAAATGGCTTTGGATAATACATAGCACAATCTACAGTGAACTCTTCAATCCAAGATTCTCTTTAACTCACATTTTTTTGTTTGTTTTTTCTCCTTATGGTTAGAAAATTAATTCATATGGGTTATAAGGGAAAGAATGAAAAATAAAAGTTCCATTATCCCATCATCTAGAAATAACTAGGTATATGTATTCAATTCTATGTTTATGATAAAATTAATAATGAATAAACTTCCTGATAGCATGTATTGTAATGAATTTTGTGATTTTTTGTAAAATGTTCAAACTGAATAACAGACAATGTGCTAAAATATAATTTAGTATAAATAATCTAGTGGAAAATGAGTACCCTAGAATGATGGGGTTCAGATATACAAAACCAGTGGTGTACGTTCACCTAGCACTAGTACTTAACAGTATCTAGACAATAATGACAAGAGTATTACTCCAGCAGTCATCCCAGGAATATTATTTTTCTTAATTTTTTATCTGAGGAGTACTAACCAGCCTTAGAAAGCAGAATTTGAGGTTAGGCTTATGATAGTTTCTGAATACGAATATTTATGTATCTAATTAAAGACCCCAAATCATGAGAGGAACAGGGATTCTCTGAGGAATTAATGGTGCAAGATGGCTTAGGAGCTCAATCATGAGACACAGAACCTTTAGCCTTTTGATCAAAGGTCACTTGCAAGTTAGGATGGGGGTGAGCAAAAGTCATTACTGGTCAATCCCTTCCAGGAGGTATAATGAATGGCTTAGCGCCATGCTATTTTTATCAGTTATATATTCAAGGGGTGACCCTTTACCTCCAAAGTTCACTTGTCCTGACCAGGATCAAGGTGGTCTTTCAAACTATAGAAGCAAAAAAAATCCATGAACAACATTTTTCTGTCTGTTTCTCAGAATTTCAAGACTTTTACTAAATCTAAGAAAATAGGTTTAAAATTGTATACTAACTAGAAATATTTTGCTTGAATTTTACTGAATTACTGTTCTCTAAGCCAAAGCTGTCATTTCTCTCTTTTTCAGGTAAAGAAGTTGTAAAATCTTTTTCTTAGGACTGAAAACCATGTTTGTATTGTGAAAATTATGCAATTTCATTGCTCCTTGTAACAATTAATTGCTTCCTGAATTGCCCATGTTGGGCTGTTGGCTGTTTAACTAATGCAAGTTTTGTGGATTGTCCTGTGGCATAGCTGAGAAACGGATGCTTTGTGCCACATAACAGAGTCACTTAGGGTTGCTGATTATTGTATGTCTTAGTTTTAATAACTCCATAGTATACACCCTCTGATTAGGTGCACATAGAAATGAATGACAAAATTTGAAGGAAGAAAAAAGTATTAAGACTGCATCACCAGTCAGGCACCAGGTTTCCAATTCTCCAGTTCCAAAAGAAGGAATTTAATAATCTAATAATAATAAAATCTAATAATAATTTGATAATACATGACTGAATATTTAGTAGGAGTCTGATGCCTGGCACAAAAGATATATTGTGTATGGATCTAGCTTTCAAATAATATATAACAAACCATAAGCTAATGGACAGCCAAGAATATTTGTGCCTTTCTTCAGAATCCCAACACTTAATAGAGTATCTTCCTTAGACTGAGGGTTTAGGTTACTATTGAATGTATGAATACATGAATGAGTGAATGAAAGTGCTGCTGTAACTTAGCTTATATGTCTGTCTGGAGTCTGCTATGGAATTTTACAGATGGGAGAGGATAATTGAAGTCCGAGGATAAGAGATTTGCTAGAGAAATGAAATCATGAATCCCATGTAGCATCTCTATTAAAAATAAAAAAAGACAACTCTTTGATCTATGTAGTTCTCTGTATAATTTTATGCTATAATAAAAGTATGAAAGCATCACATATAATCTCATTTTAATTAATTTTCAGGCAACTCCACTTTTTCTTTATCTGTTCCTTAGTGGTAAAATACTAATTACTCCCAACCACTAGAAGATCAGGACCAGAAAAAAGAGGAATTGTAATTCTGTTTGTTCAGTTCCTTAATTGGTATCTCTGATAAAAATTCTGAGAGCAAAATGTAAAGTGAGTTCTGTGTAGACCTGTATAACTTAATTATTTATGCTGTCCTTTTCTGTTGTTACTTATCATCATTGAGATTAACTTCAAGCAATGATACAGCTCAAGTGTATTTATGAAAAAATCTATAATTTCTTTATAGTTGTGGTTTATGAAAGAATAGAGGCTCTTTTAACAAGATTTTATTGATTTGTAAGCATGTGGATACACATTTGAACAAAACGTGGCTCTCCGGGTAGGGCGTACTGAATACAAAGTATCATAAAATTTTTTCTCAATTACTTTATGTAGCAGAACAAAGTTTTAAATTCCATTATTTGGCATTTACAAATGAAATTTGACACTTCCCATCATCTCCATGAAGCTTCTCTTCAAAACCAGTGAAACATGAAACATGAGTGTACCCAGGAAAGGAAAGTGACTTCATGTTTTTCTCCCGGGGTTTCCTGATAACAGTTGTCTGTGTTTTCCCATTTCCCCATAGCTTTGCCAGAGACCCTTCACCACTTCCATAGAGACATCCTACCAGAGGTCACAGATCACAAAAAACCTACAGAAACAGGAAATTAACGTTCCTGAGTCCAGGACAAAACGCAGAAGCCTGTTTCCTCTACACATCTCAAATTGGCAAAGACCTGTCTGAGCAGGTTCAGTGTGGAAGCAGCTGTTGATCAAAAGGCCTGAGGACTTTGTCCCCCGATTTCACATGAGCTTTCTTGCCTCAAACTACTGAGATGAAGGGGGCCAGATTATTTGTCCTGCTTTCTAGTTTGTGGAGCGGGGGAATTGGGCTTCCTGACAGTAGGCATTCTTGGACTACACCTGAGGGTAAAAACTTCCAGGAGACCAGGACCTCTGCTTCGGTTTCTCCAAATAAAACACCAACTTTCCAGATGCTGCCCAGCACTCAGATGGCGTCTGCTGATGTAACTACAACTCCTGAGGCAAGAACTTCTGAAGAGAGTCTTCTAAAATCAACACTGCCCCTCTCAGAGACGAGTGGACCTCCCCAGGTGAGAAACCAAACCGTCACCCCCACAAGGAAGATGGAAGAAGGAGTGGTGAAGTTACGAAGTCTTGCTCTCCCTACCAACTCCACCGTCAAGTTCAGTCCCGGGGAAGAGTCAGTTGTCCTTTCCAACGCTACGCTGAAGTTTCTTCAGAGCTTTGCCCAAAAGTCAAGTCGACAAGCAATCCCCCCAAACTCAGTCGGTGGCCTGGGGAATCGATCCCCCCGGGAAACATACCTCAGCAGAGGGGACAGCCGTCCAAGCCAAAGAACGGACTACCAAAAGCCAAGTTTTGAGACAACTAGAGGAAAGTAAGAAATGTTCTTTCCTTTTCTTATTCTTTTTCTAACTGTGAGGTCTATAAGTTTACAAATGAATAGTTTAAACTGACTCTTAGAAAATTGTTTCATGTTTGAGATGAAATTGGACTATTTGTAATTTTATCATTTCAGTTAGATGAGGGAATTACTTTCTTCTCTAATGAGAAAAAGAACAAATAATAGGCAGCAATTTTGTCCTAATTGAAATGGTCCAGGTCACTTTTCTATTCTCTTTTATAGGCGCTTTTCCTTGGGCTAGTCACTGTCAAACAAAATAGCCCCACAGTGACTAGAAGCTTATTTAATGCAACTCAGGGTTTTGGTGTTCACGCCCTCATGTATGCCCCCAATACAAAAGAAAAAACAATACAATTGGGGTATAAACTGATTTAAATACTGAAATAGGAGCGTTATGGTAAGTATACAGTTATCACAAATCAAAGCAAGGAGACCTTGAGCTGTAATTCTGGCTCCACAGTTGTCTCGAGATCCATGATTTTGAACAAGTCAACTGATTTCCCGGGACTGAAGTTTCTTCATCTGTAAACTATAGATATAATACAGGGAAGGTAGATAAAAATACAACTTTTCAGGGTTATGGTGTAGATTCAAATTAACAAAGTGTGTTTGATAAATAGTTTTCACAGAATAGGTGCTCAACGAATTAAATTTCACTTGCACTGCTATTATATTGAGCTGTGTTGTCATGAATGATGGGATGAATCAGAAAAGCCTATTTTCCACATTGATTTTGATTTAAAATGAGAGCAATTCGAATTGTTGAAGTAAAAGAATGAAACCAAGTTTTAAGTGATATTGTTCAGGAAGGCTTTCAAACAAACTAAAAACCAAATCAAGCAAACACAAAAATTACTGGCAAATCAATGTTTTATTCATTTTCTATTCAGAGTCATCTGTGTATTTGGAGGGCTGGCAGTTCAGTGTTAACAAAACTAAATGTACCTTTTACGTAATAAAACAATGTCAAGACAGCAGGTATTCCTTGGGAACTAAACTGAGGAAGACATCTTACTAATAAAATTCAAGTTAAAAATTATAGTTGCCACCTGCTATGGGAAAGGAGTTCTATTAAAGTTGTTAGTATAAAGATGAAGAGAGAGACTTTGGGAATAATGCAAACTAATACATTTGTACTTATATATTCTTTATTATGCCCTGTGTTTTAAAAATTACAAAATTTTTGGAAAATAAAACAAGTAAATCTGATTTGAACTAAAACATATTCATTCAGTGGGGTTTGAAACCATCTCAATCTACTGCAAAATGAATGGTACATATTACAAAGTGTACAACTTAGAATAGGTAGTTATTATTGTCTATGACACATTTTGCCAACATGTATTAATATTTCTCACTTGGGGGGGAAACAGGATTTTGCCTATCAAATAATGAGAATTGTTATTCATTGAGAGCTTTTTATAAATCACTTGCACGTATCATTTTTATTAATCATATTTTATTAGAGTCTAGTTCAATTTTTTTTTTCTTTTTTGCAGTTTTTGGCCAAGGCTGGGTTTGAACCTGCCACCTCTGGCATATGGGGCCGGCACCTTAGTCCTTTGAGCCACAGGTGCCACCCCGAGTCTAGTTCAGTTTTTTTAACTTATTACAATAGAACCCTTAGACATCTTAGACATTCATAGGAAACGACTGTGAGCTTTACAGAGAAGCCAAAGTCAGGAGACGTTTTAATAGACGAGGAAAAAAAAGAGCAAAGATCAATACCATTTAAATTTGTATAGTATGTGGAAAGGAGCATATTGCTGTCATAATTAATGATTCATGTATCATAAATTAATAGTGAATAGATACTAGTTTTTAAATAAATCCTAGTGGTTTTAACCTAGGCCCTCATTTTCAAAGCTTGGGAACATCTATTTCCCTGGCGAGTATTTATAAATTGTCTATCATATACCTAGCCCTGTGCTGGGCTCTGAGCATACAGAGAATTTAAAAAATAATAATAATCTTTGCTTTGAAGGAATATTTCCCATAAATAGTAAATATCTATTAGATTTTAAAAAATTCAGTATGTATGAGAAACCCGATATTAAAGGTATAACTCACTGATATCTTAAGACTTCTTAATCATTATTCTATGAAAATGATAGTGGAATCAGAAAATGCTCAAGTCTCTTCTACAGACACAGGTGGCTGCAAAGAAGCCTTGATACAGTGAAAAGAAGGCTTTTTATGTTTTCATTTATTAGCAAATAGTAATAGAAAACACTTTCATGATATTTACTTGTATGGCAATTGTTCTTAGTACTATACTGTTAAGATATGTGTGTGTATATATATTTCTAATTTAATTGCTGCCATAATTCCACACAGAAGGGTAGGATTTCTTTCTTTCTTTCTTCCTTCTTTTCTCTCCCTCTCTCTTTCTCTTTACAGAGTCTCACTCTGTCACCGTAAGTTGAGTGCTATGGCATCATAGGTCACAGCAATCTCAAACTCTTGGGCTCAAGCAGTCTTCTTGCCTCAGCTTCCCAGTAGCTGGGCCTATGTGTGCCAGTCACAATTTCTGGCTAATATTTCTCTATTTTTAGTAGAGATGGGATATTGCTCTTGCTCAGGCTGATCTTGAACTTCTGAGCCAAGCAATCCACCCATTTGGGCCTCCCAGAGTGCTAGAATCACATGCGTGAGGCACTATACCTGGCCTCTGTCATTTCTTTACAGAGAGGTTAAGTAACTTGCCTAAAGTCACTTAGTGAAAAATCTCAGGGCAAATCTTCAAACTCAAGCTGGCCAGATTTAGAGTCGTAGCTCTCTTCTCTTACATTGTACTTCCTTGCCAAGTCCAATTTATCACACCAAGTGGGAAAATAAGTGTGACCAGTTCACTTACTTCCCTGCTAAGAGCCCTCAGAGGCTTTTGATTCCCTCTAGAACACAGTCCAGATTCCTCCCCCGGTGAGTCCTGTAACACCACCCTTGACCTGCCTCCTGCCTATCTCCCCAGCCTCATCTCCTGCCACTTCCTGCTGATTCAAATTTGGGCCCCAATTTGGTGTTTGTTAAAGCTGCGCTTCTTCCCTGATCTTTTCTCTTCCTCTCCTCCTTTCACTCCTACTAATAATACCTCTAGGCAGCTTCTCACGTGAAGCTGGGGGGGGGCCTTCTCACTGTTTCTCCAGCTTCCTTTGAATTTTTCCATCACTGCACTTATAACAATGCATAGTAACTATAATGAACTTGTGATCTCTTTGCACACTGTAAATATTTAATGTCACCTCCCAAGGAGACCTCTGAAGATGCAACACACAGCTGTCTATTCTCTCACTTGCCATTCCTTATCAATCCTTCTTTTAATCTTATTTTTTAATAATAATTCAATCTTACTTTTTTCTTCACAGCACTTATTTTAAAGCATTTGGTCAATTTACATAGACAGTAGTATATATTATATCTTTCCAAAATAAAATATGTATCCCATGAAAGCAGAAGCCTTACCTTTTTTTTTCCTGCCATCTTCCCTGCCTAGAACTGTGCTAGACACATAGAAAGCTCAATAAAACTCTGGGGATTATAAGATGAGTTTGGAGCGCAGAGGGGAAATCAAGGCTAGAGATCTGTTTGGTGGAAAGCACTGACCTCAGGAATGTAAGTCATGAATGTGGATGATACTGAAAGAAAGAAGGGCCTGGAGTCATGATCAAAGACCCTCTAATTGATATCTCATGGATTAATGTGGCAAATGCCTGCAATAGACCTTTCAGTGGGGTACCCAGAGAAATTAGTAAGGAAAGTAGACACATGTGGTGCCATAGAGCAAAAGAGGACAATATTTTAGGAAAGAGGAACAGAATCAAGAATGTGAAATACTAGTTAAAAAGATAGTAAAATGAAGGCTGAAATATGCGTGGTTTTAGCGACATGGAGGTGATAGCACATAAGTGAGCACCGTGCTCTGGCCTCAGTGAGTTTAGGTGTGAAAGAAGGTGGAAAAAGAGAGCAGTGATAGGCAACTCTACTGAAAGGTCTGTCGGGGGCAGTGACGGACAACTCTACTGAAAGGTCTGTCGCGGGCAGTGATGGGCAACTCTACTGAAAGGTCTGTTGGGAGCAGTGATGGGC